AACCTTAAGGCATTATCCAAGAACAGCGGGTGGACAAAACATAGACTGGAGCCTTTAGCTCTTCGACCTCTACCACTCGTCATCACGTTTAGGAGAAATTGCTCTTTATAGACGACTGTATTCCGTGAACACAATGCAGAACTGCGAACCCCTGCAAAATACAGCCCGCATTGTGACCTTTCAGATCAGTCATTTTAATAGTACACCTTCTTAATTTTAGCCTCTCAAATTTTACTCATGCCTTTTTGAGTGTTTTTTTCCCAAGGATTAAGTTTAGAATGGTTTTAATTAAATGTCTTAAGTATGTTAGCTCAAGATCTTAAATACATAGTGGCATCAAAACACTGTATTCTCAGAGAATGGAGTTCTTACTCCACATAACCTTTAAAGACAAAGAGAGCTGTGCTATAAATACAATAGGTCACGTAAGTTAGTTTTCCATTGGCTTATAATTTTAAACTACACTCTCACATACAGTTTTAAGATAAAGTACAGGTAAAAAACATGAATGAGGCTCTTTAGGATTTACTTGTAGATGTAAAGATGCTGAAAGAACTGGAACATTAAGATTTTGCACTAAAAGCAATAGTTCCACAATAGAGCACTTACGTTTCCGTGTTGAACCCAACTGAACTTCATTCCAAGCGTTAGCTTTCCTGCTGCTCTTGAGAAAAAGAAAGAAAAAGCAGGGAGTGGAGGAAACATGCCCGACTGCCCTGTTCTTTGGACAGAGGGAGCATGTGTTGGGCTTTTTGAATGCAGACTCTGGCAGCCTTCCACAGAAACCTGCCCCAGTAATGCCAGCTACACTGCACGGGTTGAAGGCCCGTGCCAAGTCTGTTAATCAGACAACACGGTTTAAACGTTTGTGTTCTTAAAAGGAACAACATGCATTTGAAGCGTTTAGTTTGTGGTGCTGCAGTAAATTATCCCTGAAATAATAATGACAACTTATTACTCAATGTAAGCCTTCCCATGGTGATTTTTTTGCAAAACCCAGTGATGTTTGCTTGACACAGATTCATCAGTGTTTTTTATTAATGTATGGACTTTAACTCCATATTATCTGAAAGGAGTGCATATAAATATTTGATTAGCGGGCTCATCATCAAAAAAAACAAACCCAGTAAAAATCACCTCCCTTCTGATTGTTTTCAGTATAGCCGAGACAATAAAACCCTGCATTATTATATACAAGAGACTTAGGCTGTTTTTCCTTCAATTATCAATTTATGGGAGGATCTGTTTGTTCAGAGCTTCTTGAAGAGACCAGTTTCTCCAGCAAACCATGCTGCCATCTAGCTACCTTTTAAAATAGTGGTCACACAACCATATAAACACCTGACAACAGGCCAGGTATCCTAGGAGGGAAATCAATGCTTAGTTTTTAGCTGCGAAGTAAGTGAACAGGGATATGGGAAAACTGACGTGGAAAAAATGTGACTTCTTGGAATACGTTTCAGTATTCCGCATACGTTTCATACTCATATAAGGCACATGTCTCCTGCAACTACGCTGAGAAATTTTACTCCTCATCAGAGCTGATACATCTGGAATAAGGATTTACTACCAGTACTAAAGGGTGTGAATACATGACCAGGGCTAACCTTCAAAATGCAGCTACGCAATGTTGAAAAATCTTTTCACAGTTAATCAGTGTTTAAAGGACTTTGTTTTCAAAACTGTGGTTATGAGCGCTTAACTCTATCAGTGTTGTATGGCACTGTGCTTGTGCTTCTGTAACTGAGAATCAAAATCATCAACCTTTAAACCGATGGAGGATTGCACTGTTAGAGGAACCTTGTGTCCACTGTTTTTTTTGTCTAGCTGAGCTTTACACCTCAAATGCAAATTCTTGATTTCATTAAGCTTCTTGCTTGTTTACATTTTTATTTAACTTGTTCCTTCAGTCAGTCTGACACGCCCACAGGCAGGAATGACACAGTATCTGACACGCCCACAGGTAGGAATAACACTGTATCAGATGTGCCCATATGTGGGAATGGCACTGTATCAGACACACCCACATGTCAGAATGAGACAGCATCTGTCACGCCACAATGAGCATTTTCTCCCGCAGAGGTTCTTTTTGTGATATTTCAAGCAACATCCCTGAATGTACTGTAGGGCAGTCCCTGCAACTCAGAAATGGGAACATGGTTGATTTCAGTTCCAAATCCGATTTGACCTTTAATTTCAGAAAGCAGACTCCTGTAATTCTCATTAACCTGTGACTAAGAATATGGACTGGAGCAAAAACCAGAAGACAAAGTGTTCATCCAGAACCAGGGTGGGGAACCACAGTTCTAATTTATGTGAGATGCTCAGGAGGAGGTGTAGAGTATTCAGATTATGAGACTTGTGTGTTTTCAGTCCCTCTCCCAGAAACCTGTTTCAGCCTCTAACACTCCAATGCCTATATCGGATCTGATGAAAAGAGAAATGGTAACGATAATAAATCATTCTCATAAGCCCCAACAGTTGATCTGCTGACCAGTGTCATTTTTATGATTCTGATAGAGTACGTCTACTAAATAACCCACGTATTGGTGTAAGTTGTTGGAACTTCGTTTTGGTTTCATTACCTGTAGCTGTGGATTATGAAGACACAATGCAGTTCTTGTGAATGATGTCCTTGATCAATTAGACACAAAAAAATACTCACACAGACGAAACATTCAAAAAAAGAACAGAAACAATACATAAAGTGTATACCCCTGGGTCATATTTTCCCCAAAACCATTGTTTCCCCGTCTTCATAAACTGGAATAATAATGAAAAAGTGAAACTTTGCCTGTAGATAGTTATCTTCACAAAACATGGGTGAGAGGAAAAGACAAGGACCTTCCAATTTAAACAAATTCGGGCATCCCGGGAGCCTGCAAGTGATATTACAGTACATATCACCCATCTGCACCACGCTTTCACAGGAAACTGCTCAGGACACGCAGAGGAGGAACAATGTGTGTTCAGAACAGTACGCCGTATGAAAACCAAACGTCTCCAAAACCGCATTAATTTGTTCTTAATATTTCAAAAACTGCAAACTCCATGTCCAGAACCATTTCCACACCTTTTGTAATTCACTGAATCCATGAGCTTCTAAAAGGTAGTGCGCTGCAAAGCAGGAAAGCTGTAATAAACCAATAATTTCGGACAAGTCCAGTGTCGAGTGTCGAGTGTTTTGTGCTTTTGAAGAAAAAAAACACTCGGAAATGAAAGCTGTTTTCCCTACCAAATCAATTTGTTACAAGTTACAGAATTAAACGGTTCCATTTTTTTACGAAGACCTTTTTTTACTCTACGCCTTATTTTACTCTACTCAAACAGCACGACATTCTAGGAAATGAAACCAAGGTTTAAGCAGCACTGGAAACTCACTGCTCTTTGTGAGCGAAACATTGAAGTCACCGTTTCACAGCGCCCGCTAAAATGAGCACACTTCACGGCGAGAATTATTTCTTTCGGAACCGGGTTTAAGAAAAGTTAAACTTTGTTGTGGCAAATAACTAAAATGTAAAAATAAATATTCGCCGACATACTAAATGTTCAGGAACCAGGCACTGTTACATACCACTGACTCAAGGGGAGGCACTGGGAATGCAGAGGCATTCAGAAATAACAGGTTGTCCAGATGAATTATCATAAAACCTGTATTCCAACCGATAAAGGTGTAGGACTCACTGATCCGTGGTATTGTACACATTACTGTGCAGCTGGCTGTTACACCTCGCAGTAAACATGTATCTTTGATTTAAAGCAACTGAGCATAAAACGTGTTTGGCCCAGATCTAAAAAAATAATAATCTGCAACCTTTAAACTGCTGCTTTAAGAAAGAGAAAAAAGAGCTAAACGTAACATAGAGTTAGCATTACGAATTGGTTAATTAAAAAGAGAGGATAACAATGCTGTCAAAGCAGTGCCGTAACACTCTAAATAGAAACACGATAAGTGTTTCTTTAAAAAAGCAGAGAAAGCGACCACAACGACTAAAACAGTGTACTAATAAACTCCTGTACGAAATAAGTGGTTCAGTTGTAAAAACAGTTAGGGGGAATGACAGAAATGGGCGATTTCCTGTTTCTTTTGACTACCCGGAGTGTAGAGTTTTTACATAAATTAAAAAGAAATCTGCTCTCAACCCTTTCGTGCGGTCTCCGGGTTGAACATCTTGCCATGTTCTAACAGCCCAGTCAGAAACAGCAACAACTTTACAGTTCAGCCTCAGAAGAGACTGGGCTGAAAACGGATAGCCCTTGGTGGTGAACTGCTACTTAGTCGCGTGTGCAACGTCATTACCAATCGATAACGTAAAAACCTCGTACAGTTACAAGAACATTAAAGTTTTTACTACTTCGCTACTGCAGGAGGAATCGGCAAGGAGGTTTTCGTTAATATAAATAACGGTTTGTTCTGCCACACTGATCGTGAACGTCATTTATAAAGCTGTTTTATTTCCTACTTACAGGGCAACACATGTTTCATTTTCTTAAATCGCAAGGAATATCACATAAGATACACATAATATAAGATAAGATATGAACAAAAATGAGAACGCACACGAGTCAGTAACCCACTGCACTGGTTACAGGATTTGTTTGCTCCAACTAAGCATATCCAAAGCTAAAAGAAACGAGAAAAGTTCAATTTTGTGATATTGTGAATCGTAGCAGGAAAACCACCCTACAGTATTTCTTCATGTGAATCGCAGTCGGCAGCCCTAAAAGATACAGTATATGGTTGAATTGCGCATAGGTGTAAACCATTTATATTTCTCTCATTTATATTACGGCTTTTCTTTTTTTTTTTTAAAGTACAATTGAAATGCAATTCAACGAGAACTTCCCTTGCCATGTTTGCCGGTGTTAAAAATGCTGGTACCGACTGAACTCTGTCTGAAATACTAAGTAAACACAACCGTAGTACGAGTCCATTGAAAACTGACAAACGGCGATTAATCAATCTCTGTGCGTGACGGAGATGCAGCCAGCGAACATACCTGCCTTCTCGCACACCTGAAGGAACGGCCACTGTACTGTGGTATATTCCCTTCAGCAGGAGGATGAAACAGTACACAACTACTGTATCTTCTTGAGCAACAGCAGGTCCCGCTCTCCCGTGTCCAGCTGTACAGCGTAGTAAAACAAAAAGTATATCAGCCTCTAACTGGCACTACTACCTAGGACCGGTAAGACGGGAGAGCGCTGAGAGGATTCTCACGGCGTGTCTCACTCAGAGCTGCGCGGCTCAGGCTGCGCGCAGTCTCCCTCTCTCTCCGAGATGCTCAAACAGCCCTTTTTGCTTGTAACTCTGCTGCTTTCTGTAATACTTCATTCACTTAAGAGACGGCCGCTGCCGTCACGGTCTCCCACACCCTCCAAAACCCGCCCTCTACATCCCTTGAACTTGCGACCTTTTTTGCAACGAGGAATGGGACGCATATTCCGCTTTGCTCTTAATAGAAAGCTGTTTGTGTTCAGTCTGAGGTCTAAACCACGCGACAGCGCAAAGGGGGCTCAAAGAATATGTAGCAAAAAGAATATGTTCAGAGTTGGCACTAATAAATAGACAGCCACATTATGTAAATAACCATATACAGTAGATGACTTATAGTTTTAAATAGAAATGTCCCAATTCTCTACAGAGTTCCTATAGAACTGGACCGATATCTATAAAAGCCTTTCTTTTATTTTTGAAAGAGATACAATGTTAATGGAGTGACTGATCTGCCTTGTGCAGATGGCCAAGTTCTCATCACTTGTTTGGAGAAAAGTAGCAATGCTCTTCGCAATAGTAACTCCCTCCTGACACTCCAGACAGTCGAAGGAGATGCCTTCATGTGACCAGCTAGAAGATATTCTTTCTCAACATTAAAAAAAACAACTTTTCCAGCGATCCTCAGACCAGCCAAAGCAGTGAACACCAGCGACTTTTCACATACTGTACTGTAACTGAACTGTTTGGAGGGTCTGTTATATTCCCTTGTGCTCACGGTCCTTGTGGATACAAATATAAAAATACCCTAGTACAAGAATGTCTTCAATTATTATGTTTTATCCACCATTCCAAGCTCTATGAGAATGCACTATGCATTTCAGATTGTTACAAGTATAGAAAAAAACAGTAGAAGGAAAATACTGTCTCTCCAGGATATCCATCTGTTTTCTGACATCTTCTTCCAATTCAGAGTCTAAGGGGAGCCAGGGCCTATTTAAGCAAGCAACGGGTGCAAGGCAGGGTACACCCTGGATGGGACGCCAGTCCCTCTCAGGGCACACAGAGACACACACCCATTAATCTACAGGCATGTCCTTGGACTGTGGGAGGAAACCCACATGAACACAGGCAGAAAATACAATCTCCAGCCAGGGCCCATGCAAACCACTGTGCCACCAGTCGCCCAACCCGTGAGTCTTTAGAATAAATATGTTGCATTGCTTAGAAAAAAGGAAAGCTAGCTCGTTCACAGAGAGACAGTGGATTTTAAATCACAACAAGATTATTAAATTACTTTAGGAATGATAGTGTCTGTCTGATATAGGGTACAGTTATTTTTGGTCAAAGCCATTTGTTGGTACAGTTGTCTTCCAAAAGATGGCAGCACTCTGTTCTCTCTCTCTCTCTGAAACATTAAATAAAAACCTGCTCCCCAGAAAGGCTAGAAGGTAAATTCTTCTTTCCCGGAAAACAGGAAAGAAGTAAATGTTTCATTAATTCTATTTTTTTTTTGGTTTTGCTTTGTTATTTTCTGATCAGCAATTTTTGGAGTAATCTCGGGTTCAGGAAGAAGCTTTGGCTCTTGAGCTTCTCTCCAAGGGCAGAATTAGATTTCCTGGGGGATAAGTGGTCTCCTGGGTGTTTAGTTCAGAGAGAGGCTGCTTTTAGTGGCTGATACCTGCATATGAAATGAATGTCTTTTTTGGCTCTTAAAGTTGAACATGTGGAAGTGGTAGGGACTTAGAAAATATATAAGATTTAGGTTAGGCTCTGCACATGATGCACGTTATAAATGCCTAGCAGTTCCCACAAAGTAGAAAATGAAAAACAAAACATTAATATAAGACAACAGTCTGAAGTTTGTCTGAAAATATTAATGATTTTCAGGGATCAATTCCTAGTGGGTTATTCAATGTATTAATGCTGGGTTAATCTAATATACTGTAGGTTTTAATAAGTTTAAAAATGGAATTTGCCACCCCTGGTTTAAAGAGTTCTCCTTTACCTTATATTTTAGCCATTCAAAACAAATAGAAAGAGAAACGAATCTGGGAGAAATACTCCCAGAAATACGGAAAAACACCCGGTAAGAACTATATAACAACTGGCTTTAATGAAATATGTTGCCAGAATTCAAGGAGAACACCACATGAAGATGAATGAAATGATCCAGGTAATTTGACTGAAGCTCTTAGAATACATAGACTTGTTGGAAACATCTGGAACTCCGAAAAGAAGGAATCCAGTGGATCCTGGGACTCGAAACCCGTTTGCTAACCTGAAACTGTTTGGGTGGTTTGGGAGCCATGCCCAGGAGAACTGTGAGCTCTGAGAGGAGGATTCCCTCTTCACTCTTTGCTTTATTCTTCTGGTGTTTTACTGATGGACTTGGCTCTTTATCGGCTGTATATTTACAGCCCATGTAGCCCGATGAAGTGTGAAAGAACTGCATTGTTTCGTTTCAGGCCCCCTCTGTTAGAGGTCTGGCAAGACAATATTCTTGATAAATGTCCTACTGTACATTTCTATTAGCCAAGCTTAGGGGGATCTTAGCAGGGAACCCAATATTCCCTGTTTATTTGTAAGGTATATTTTAACAGCCGGACAACAAAAATGACAGACACATACAGTATAAACACATGGAATGTAATACTGTAAGCATAAATGTGGTGTGACCCATGAAGGGATGCCAATCTTTCCAGAATTGCTGTGAGTAACATCAGACACAGGTTAGTCAATTTTTAGGGATTATTTTGTGTTTTGTCTCCATCACAGTACTTAATGCTGGAAGAATGAAACTAAGTATTTCAATATCAGTCATTTCGTTGGACAGATGGGGTCCCACTTTGAAAATATTATGACATCTCCATTTTTTTTATTTTATTCAGAAATTGAACAAGTATTTCAACCTGGGTTAACTGGAATTGTATTTTTGTGAACCTAGCTGTGCAGTACAATGGCAAAAGAAAGTAACAGTCTGTTCTTAGTTCCACATTCACTTCTGTTCCCATTCAGTTTAATTCAGACAAGAAATAATTTATCTTTCAGGTAAGTAATTTGTTCCATAAATTACGCATTTTGCCTTAATCATTGAAGATACAGAACCAAAAAGCAAATTGAATTCCATTTGCTATCTGCAATGCGGTGTGTCTTTCATTACATCATGTGCAGGTTGAAACGGAGGATTCTGCCCTAATCATTTCTGAATTACAGGCTTCTGCCACACTGTATCTACAATTTCAATAATCGCAGCCTGTGGAGGAGAATGTGAAGAGTATCTGGACATTTGTAAAGGCAGGCATCTATCTCAGAAGTAATTCACCACTTTCACCATTTTCCTTTATAAACAACAATGGTTTGCAATATTGCAGCAGGAGTTTTGTGATCAAAGGAGGAAGAGTTTTATCATTACCAGCAATATGCTTATAGATATGACTGGGACTATTAGTATACTGATCTTAAATGTAAATCATTTTTTTAAAGATACAGTAGACACCTTCACTCAGATCTATTCACTTTAAATGTTGCATGTGTTGTCACTCTTTATTTAAGGAAAATACACACCAGCTAAAATTAGACATACTTCTTAGTGACCTGCAGTTGCATTAGAATCACACTGAAGCAGAAGCAGAAGCTAAATGGATGGGTAATAAAAATGTTAGTCTCTGTGCATCTGTAATGCATTTGTTGGACAAGTGTTTGATGCCAGCCATTCTTCTGTAGTCTGTCCATCTGAGTGATTGAAATGAGGGCTGAACTGTACTTTTGCACATCCAGAACGAGGGAGGTGTCGTTCTGTGCTTTGTATTCACCACTCGCTTGCTGGAAGCGCAGCTCTGGCAGAGATGACGTGCTGGACTGTGGCGCTGGGGTTGGGGGCCAGGCCCGGTGCCTTCGGCTGAGCCCTGCCAGGTGTGGGGTCGCTCGGGGCTGTCCCTCCTGGAGGCCTGTCTCTCCTCACCTGGCCCCCGTCGCCCCCGTGTGAGTCTCGCAGACGCCTCTCCAGCTGAGCCAGAATGTCGCTCTCCTGCGCGACCATGGTGTTGACATTCAGACCCAGCAGCTTCAAGATGCATTCTTTAAAATCCACCAGCTGTGGGTTTTTTTAGAAAAGACAGTGTCTAGGTTTCAGTCATTAACTACCCTGGTTCAGTTTTAGGCAGCATTGAAATGCTAAAATATGAACACAAGAGTGCAATTTCCATGATTTTATTTACTTCAATACTTTTAGAATATAGTACCTCTGCCAAATCATATACTGTATACTGTAGTGTGAAGGTTTAGCCTTTTTAGTCAATCATCATGGTGTCTGCAATTCATACACTGAATAAACCAAACCGTCCATTCCTGAACTTCATTTTATGTAAATGTTATGTGGCAAAAGAGGTGAAAACATAATTCCAGATGTCTGTCTGTACTGGTGTAAAGGCAGCTGAGCGTTTCTTTTGTGGCTTGTGTCTCACCTCTCTCTCTCTCCTGGCCACCTCACGCAGGGCTCTCTTCGTCATTCGGAGCTCATTGGACATGGCCTGCAGTGTGGTCTGAGCCCTCTGCCTCTCCTCGCTCTCCTGCTGCAGGTCTTCTCTTACGCACGCCACCGTCTCCTCTGCCAGCTCTTTCAATCTCCTACTCTCCGATAGCGACTTTTTCAGCCCCTCCATGTTTCTGGTCTTTTCGTCCTTCTTCACCTACAGTATGTGAGAGAACGCTGTTGGTTGACCACATGAACCAAGAGTGTCCTTTTGTCACAAAAACAAAACTGAGACAGAAAAGACACTACTACCTATACAGTATGTCAGGTATGCACAGGTTATAAAGTCTGCTCTATCGATTTGCTGTTACACAAAGCAGTATTCACAATTCACCTTTAACAGTGCATTCCTTCTCTATATTCACTGCACACAATACAACTTTAGAGTTATGCAGTAGGAATATAGTGGATAGGAACTGATAAGATTTGTTCGGATTAGTAGTGGATAGTACTGAATAGATTTTTGCACCTGATAATTTGTAGAGAAGATTTGTGTTTCAAGACCCTGCAGTTCAAAGTAATAACACACTGATGTGTCAGTTGCTCAGTTCCTGTAACTCGTTTGCTAAGTCACCTGGAGAAGCCTGGCCTCAGCTAGCTGTGCCTGCAGGCTGCGGTTGGTGCTCTCTAAGTCACTCAGCTGCCCCTGCAGCATCACTATGTTCCTCTCCAGCTGCAGGACAGTCTCTCTGCTCCCCATCTTCTCTCTCAGGAGCAGGGCAGACAGGTCCTTCTCTTCTTCCCTCAGCTTCAGCTTCTGCTGGAGGCTCTCGATCTCTGCCTTCTTTCTGTCCAGCTTCTCTTTCTGAGAAGAAACCTGGCATGGATACAGTGTGAAACTCACAAAGGGGTGGGAAAGGCTCAGAAAGCCTTTTAGATAGATAGATACTTTATTGATCCCGTGAGGGAAATTGCAGTGCAACAGCAGCTTAACACACACAACACAGCCACAGTGTAACGAATTATATACTAATAGTACAATACATACAATACAATACAAGAGTTACTCACAGTCCGGACACACAAGAGGAAACTAGAACAGAACAGTACACAGAAAATCGTATCACACGTATGAATATAAATATAGATGTAACCATAGATATAAATATAAATATAAATGTATTGCACAGGTCCCTGGCATATATTGCACAAAAGTGGTTGTAAACGGGAAAAAGAAAAAGAAAAAGAAAGAGAACAGATGTAGCAGTAGATGTGTATATGCGTTTAGTCCAGAAACAGGTCACTGTCGCTGTTGCCTCTGCCAAGACGCAAGGTGGATGCGTTGTACAGTCTTATGGCAGACGGCAAGAATGACCTCCTGTAGCGCTCCCTGTCGCACCGTGGATGAATCAGTCTATTTTATACCCTGATTAGGTCTCCTTTCATTAACCAACACATGTGCCAACCCATTTGTAAAATACAGTGCTATTGGACATGTTTTTTTGACATATGTTCAGGGTGAGGACGCCCACCTTGTGCTGTAGGGTATGGATGAGCTCCCTGCAGCCACTGATGGACTGGCTGCCCAAACTGGACAGCCGCTCTGCGCGGGACAGCAGTACGTTGTACTGAGTCTGCAGGGGCTTGCCAGAGATCTCCTCCTCCACATTCAGCTTCTGCGCCATCTCATTCACAAACATTATGTGCTGCAAAGGGACACAAGCCTTTATTACAACAGTTCGGAAAGTGAAACAAGGAAAGCAACTCCTTTGTCCCTTGGGGACTAATATCTATCCAAATAGACACTTTTACCAAATACATAAATAAAAATGTGCTTTCTTAGAAAATCCATATTTACAGTTCTTTACAAAAACACACAAATAGCTCAATAATCAAATGCTTAATTTCTTCATGAAACTACCATAGTTTCTGAGATTATTCAGAAATGATGTATCACAGATTTTCTAGAATACAAAGTTAAACACAAAGCGGTATATTTAATAACTGCAAGTGATTTGTTGTGCTGTCTGCTGGAAAACGGAAAGAGACGATGGAGGAATTTCAGCACTTGAGGGTTTCAGAACCAAGCAGCCAAATCACATCGCACCAGATTTATTGCATAGTACAGTGGAATGGAGGCCAAATAAAATAAGCAGAAAAGATTTAAATAATGCCCAATAAACCTCACAAAAAGGCACAAACTGTCTCACGTAGTTGCCCACTAATACTGTAACTATTGACCATTCACCAACCCAATTTATGTTTTCCAATATTCCCTGTTTTTCAGTGCCGACAACAGACATGATTCCAATGTCCCTGGTGTCTTGAAAGGCCAGGGACTATCCGGAAGAGGACAAACCTACAGTAGCTACAATACATCTTTTCCCAACTAGCATCAAGCCTGCTGTATCGTGGGATATGAGTATCACCATGTGGTTGACTGGTGGAGTCAGCTGCCATCCATCCGCTGTTGAATCAGCAACACCACGATTTCTTTTTGGTCTCCCTTTCTACTTCTCATTTGCAATAAAACACAGACAAGGTGCATAAACAATTCATGTTTATGTGTAGCATTAATAGAATGCATGAATCTGTGGATGGCATGACATTTCAACTGTGTAATACTGTACATCTGAGGATAGATCAACAGAAGGAGGAACACTCTACAACGGGGCTATAAGCTGACAAAGAGCTCATTTGGAGCTCCTTTTAAGAGATTACGAGGGAAAAAAAGAACAGAAACCCAATTCATTTCATGGTTTCACCTAGTGATATCGAGGTGATGTTATTGTTATTCTCAGTTGATCAAGACTTCCATCACCCTTCTACTATCTACAATAATGGCAACGTAGTCCGAAAATTCAGAGAGCTGGAGAGCAAAGATATCACAATATCTTACAAAACGTAGAATACAGAAAAGGAAGATGGGTACTTTAACAAGACGATACCTTTCCCCATTAGACATGCACATCTTAAGAGGTAACTGTGAAATCCTTTCTAACGTAATCCCAAGGTCCCGGACTTTCACCTTTTGCTTCTCGAAGGAAAGGCCGTCGTTCAGCATGCTTTTCGCCGCCAGGCTCCCCTCCACGTGGCGCAGCGTGTCGCGGTGCTGGCGCAGGAGCTCCTGCGTGCTCTGGCTGTGGCCCACGCTCTGCTGGTAGAGCTCGCAGTGCTGCCCCAGCTGCCGGCTCATGCCCTGCAGCCTGCGCTCGTACTCCTCCTCCCTCTGGGCACCGGACGACAAGACAGCCAGCCCGGCTGGGATTACCGCGCGCGCTTTACGAGCTCCACTCCGACGGGAGGAAACAGGCTCAATAGAAAAGCTGAACAGTGATTGACTCTGCAAATAATTTGTTTCAAATTAATAGCCTAATTAAATTACTGCTGTATAATCCTGCAATGCTCCTTTTTTGATTGCGTGCTTGTTTTTTTCATCCCTTTAACGGACATTATATACTGTACCACATAGGCTAATACATATTATACTCCAAGGAACCATTATGTACTCTTAATTGTACATGCTTTTGTACTGTACATGTTTTTCCATAGTCAAAATAGATGCTGACACATTATTTTTCTTCTTTAATGCACTAAAGCTATCTAAAGTAGGGCAATTGATTGATTCCCTCCACTGTTCTTAAGAGGTAGGCAGATGAAGCTCTAGGAGCTGTGCATAGCTGAGCATTTCCTTCTCAAAGTCATCTGAACAAGCCTCTTTGTTCCACTCCTCAATGCAGCAGTGATGCGAAACACCTGAGAAGGACACCAGCCAGGTAGTGGAATCAGAGCTGGAAGCTGAGCTACACAGGCTGGAGGCGAGACGCAGCTCTGAGTTGAGCAACTTTCGAGCTGTACTGCTGCTTTAAAGGAAACCTTGGATGATATTTATGACCGTACTGTACTTCACATTCTGTGTCGGTACATTTCGTGATAGGGAGTATCTGTCCAGCTATGAAGCGCAATTAAACATTCCAGAAATGAGTTGTATTTATCCATTTGACCTTTAGCATTGCAGTGGCACAAATCATTTCATTTGGAATCATTGGAAGGTACTCCTTACGTATTTTTCAAGTAAGTCATTATCTCAAAAAAAAAAACGAATGAAATGAAAGACTTTGACTCTTCCAAACTAACATTTTTTTTACAGCTGGTACTGTAATGTAGAGCTCTATTTACCAGGAAGCTCATATTTCTCAAGGTCTACGTGATTTACTAATAGTTTGGCTTCAGTGGAGCTCATTTTAGTTTGTTGTTGCTCATCTATTTTCTGTGCTGCACTTCTCCCTCCTGTTCTCACTCATGTTCTAATTTCTGTGTTGAGAGTAAGCTAGTTTCGAGTTTTACACAAGGATAAAATCTGTCGGTTTAGGAGCTGGGGGTTAACCTTTTTCTATGGGCTTTATGCCACACTTTAAAGTGAGCGTGTGCCTAAAAAAACAATTGATTGTCTTGCAGGTGACAGCAAGAGCCTCGTCTCTTCCCTGCATCAGAGAAAGTTACATCAAAATTCAGATTTTTAATGCCATGCACAGTTCAGATGGACACGTAGCTTGCAGTGTACCGAAGTTAATGAGTGACACTTCCAGAAACCGGACGAGCTCAAGAGACTTTACTTTAACATGATCACACTGAGAGTTTGGACAGACCAAGGTCAAGCCCTGTAATTGAGATTGATATTCATGTGCTGAATAGGCGCAATCACTGTCCATTTGTATGGCACGGTTAGTACCCACGTACCACACTGAGCATCAACAAATGACTATTCTGAATGCACTGAAATGCTGGAAGTGCCTGATCAATCTGAGTGTCACAGATGTTGAAAATCACTGACATTTTCGAGTTTAAAAAGCATGAGCATCACTAACTTGTTTAGAGCACCCACTGTAGGTGGACCAGAGATAGAGTCCATGGTATTTTGCATTCCTTGCTCGTGACATTGATGGCAAAGAGCATAAGAGGCTGGACAGAGACATTTCTGACATGGTTGTTCTACAGTAAATTCATCAAGATGGCTTACGTGGGACACCTGGATATGGACAGTGCAACAGCCCCCGTCAGCCCCCGCTCACCTGTCTCCAGTCCCGCGTGGCGCTGCAGAGCTCCTGGACTCTCTCGATCACTGCCTCCTCGGACTCGGGCACTGCGAGGACACTGTCGCTCAGCAGGCCGGCGAGCTTGTGCAGGAAGGAGCTGTGGAGGGTGCGGGCCGCCCGGTTCTCGCAGCGCTGGGACTGCAGGCTGAGCTCCAGCTGCTCGGCCTGCGCGGCGGCTGCCTGCAGCTCCCGGTGGCTCTGCCCCCACTCCTTCTGGCTCTGCTCCAGCCTCTCTCGCAGCAGCTTCGCTTCTCTCTCCAAGGCCGTTTTGACGGCAAGAGCCTCGTCTCTTCCCTGCATCAGAGGAAGTTACAGCAAAATTCAGATTTGTAATGCCATGGACAGTTCAGCTGGACACGTAGCTTGCAGTGCAGAAGATGTCGAAGATAGCATCGAAACAGAATGTACCTTAGAGCACAGGAAATGATCTCTGCATGAACCAACACAACAGAAACATTTTCCTCATTTAAAAGCAATTTAGTTCAGCGACTAAATTACACTGAGAGATATTTAATATCTGAAGAGTACGTTCCCTTTATTTTTATTGCATTCTGACAGATTCATTGCTTGTAAAAGGCTCCAGACAGATTGTTGGAGCCTGAGATTGGTTATAGTTTTGTCCTCTTCGATTTCCTACGCTGATCTGGCTCCTGTTCCTGCTCCTGCTCGAAGGAAACACACCAGTCCATATGACCATTCCGACACAGTCCTGTGTCCGCAGGTCACTGGGACAGCTGTGACAGCAAAAGTAGCGTTGAAAATATCCACTAGTCTGTGTGCGAATACCTCCCTTATGTTTTCTTTTGTTCTTTCTTCCATATACTGTATATACATTGTTTCTATTTCCTTACTTTCTAAATATCTTTCCCTTGCAGAGTTGCAGGTTGGTATGTTTTGCACTGTGTGCTGAAAAGACTGGAGGAAACCTGGATAATCTTCAAAGCCCTGTGAAGAAGCGTACCCCAACTCGCAAATCCTGAAGATAGTTATGGGAAATACTAGTTCATTATTTTAGCAGATATTATTAATAATACATTTCAGTTTATAGTGTGTCTTTAAAAGCACAAGGTGCAGGTACAGTATGAGCTGTTATTCTTTTGTTCAGATCGCAGTTCAATTATTAAATAAAATCCCTTGGATATTCTGGGGGTTTCCCCAAACCCAGTACAGTTGTTTTCTCTGCCTCTCTTCAATTAAATCCTAATCTTTACAACACAAAGAGCCCATTTCCCCTCCTAGAAGGAGGGCTTAACTGGTTTGGTTTGGCAATAATTCCAGAATCATGGATTCACACCTGGTACACTGCCCTGACGTTGCTTTGGCACCATGTCCTGTTTCATTAGTCTGGAATGGGCACCTCTTAGAGGTAGAGTTACACATTGCAGTGGCTTTAACCTGGAGAGCCACGACAAACATCTTACATTTGTTCAGTTGACCTGCAGTCTTTCAGGATGTGTCCAGAACAGAGAAGAATGTGTGCAGCTCTGAGAAAGCAGGGCCACACATCTCATTTTATTTACTGTATTTTATAAATCAGGTAATTTTATAAGGACACTTAATTAACAGAGAACATTCAGCTACAATCTAGCCCTCAGGTTAGCTGATGACATCAACTTAAAGCTGATGATTTTCAATCCTAGAGAAACTTAAAAATATTGTTCTAGCTCAAAGGTCTGTGGCTTTTCTGGAGCCGAGTGACCACCCTACATATACAGTACAGAACGAGCCACTGTTTTCTGTTTTTTTATTGTGTGCAGCTTTTCAAATTTGATATCCTGAAAGTTTCCCAATGTAGTCAGTTGTTAGTGCAAACATAAATCAAATACCAAAAAAAAGCATAATTCCACTTTGTAATAAAGCCTTTTCAAAGGCTGATCAGGTTACATTCAGAACTGGAATTTGTACATGGTAATCATGGCCTTGATCAAGGTCAGGATTATCCCTGCTGCAGAACAGGACTATAAAATTAGGATAATTATGCTATTTGTAATTAGGGAGGTATCATGGCAAAATAAAACAGCCTAACATGGAGGGGTAGACAGAAGAGTGAAACTCATGATTTTTAATACTTTATGGACGGATTATGATCTCATGGGAGTTGGCACAAAGACTCATGAAAAACAACGTTGCTGAAAATGACAGAAAAGCAGAGCAATATCAATCTTCTTTTTTTAAAAAAAAGTCTGGAAACATTATTATCTGGTTAAATCGTCAATTTAGATAAGATTGGCTTTATTACTTTTATCTTTATAATCTAAGCAAAATCTTAACTTTATTAAAAAAATACCTTTATCCTGTTTTTCAGCACTGCTGGAATGAAATTGAATATTCATACCCAGGCTCAGGCATTTACAAGGAAGAACAACAGCTCTTTTTTATTTGATTCTCTTATGAAAAGCGGATTTAAAGAAGGCACAGAATTAAGCCAGGGATTTCGTAATTTAACTGTTGTATTCAGAGGAAAAAAAAACCCTGCAGCCCTCTTCCACGTGTACTCTCATTGAGGACAGGCACTGAAATGCAGCTGGGGAATCGTAAATGGTGTTCGAGTCCCATTCAGCGGCGGATTTCTTGCCTCCGAGTCTGCTCTATCAGCAACAATGGAGGAGGGAGGGGTCAACACGGTCAGAGACGAGCCGGAGAAACTCATTGTGACTGTGAAGGGGCTCTGTGGCTTCCGAGGCGCAAGGTTCACAGAGCCCAGATGTTACTGAAAATGAAATCAGAAACTGATTTGGAATTGTCTCAATTACACAAAAAGTACAAAAAGGAACATATCAAATACGAATGGCTTTGGCTCTTTGATTTAGATTAAAAAATACAATTTGTAATCCGTCTGGCTCTTGCCTTCTCTCTCTTTCTCTCTGAACACGACACCCTAATGTCACGCTCTTTTTTGTCACTTTAAGGCCTTAAGGCAATGAGCAACACAAGGTTCGGCTAAAACACACCTCAGGGGAAATAAAGAAAGGCAGAAACAGTGTTTAATATGTTAATGGCAAAACGTGAAGAGCGAAACACAGGACAATGGAGATATTGGATTTCTTCTTTTAAAAAAGCTGATTTGGTAAAAATGGACAGTTCTAGTTCGCATTCCAGGAACGTAGAAGGCTAAATAAGTCCTTTGTGAGGTAAAGATGTGTTTAGTTGGAATGTTTGCGAGATTGTCCCACATATAACACATTACAATATTATCACCACAAACACCTTTTTTACTAAGAATCAAAGAATCACAAAATATTTGTGCACCAGAGTGGTGAGGCAATCAGTACTGATGCCTCACAGCTCAATTGTCCTGGATTCAGTTGTAACCAGGCATGGTGATTACTTGTTTTCCACAGCTGGAATGGAATTTTTCCAGGTGCTCTGGTTTCCTTTCACTCCTCAAAGACATACTAGAAAAGGTTAAAGGTAAATTTTTCCCTGTAGGCTCCTGTCCACTGGTGTGTCCAGTGTGTGTGTCCACTTCCATGTACTGGTGTCCTGTCCAGCGTGTAGTTACAGTACACTTTCTGCTCTTTGCTTCCAGGTTAGCGTCTGATTTGCTGCAACTCTTAACAGGAAAAAGCAGCTTTCTGATATTGAATGGGTCAATGGATTGATTTGTGGATTAATCGCATGCTAATAATGGCTTAACAATTATCCTACAGCCCGTTCTCTGGTGTAACCTTTTACGTTCTAATGGATGTGTCTTTCACAAACAGTTTTAGTTAACATCCCATATCCTATAATTTGTAAAACAAAATGTATTTTAATGAGCCATCTCAATAAGTAGAATGTTAAATGTTAACGGCTCCTGGGGCTGCAAATAAGCACAAAGCAATAAAGGAAGCAAAAAAAAAGCTAGGAATTTGTTTTCAGTAAAAGTGCGTGGAACTTGAGTGAGTACCACTAACACATGGCAAAGCAAAATGAAATTCTGTTTCATTTCATTTAAGAGATTTCCCCTTTGCAAAAGCCTCCCCCACATTCTAATGAACTTGTGTACAGAGGATCAGCTCTTTTCCATTAGCCTGAGCAGTACAACAGGAACAGACCTCTCAATTCATGCAATTTTATTTTGATAGGATTGTATGTGTATTTAAAGTTTTTAATACTTTGGAGGCTTCAATAATATAGAAGGCACAACATGACACATACATGTTTAGTCAGTTTTAACATCTCACTTTCTAAAACATAAAACTGAGTTTGTATCTTGTAGCTGGATAAATGATGAGAACTGGTCTACCTGTCTCTTCTCCTGAGCTTCCCAATCCCATCCGTCTCCTACATGTTGCGAAAGGTCAGTGACGTTATAATAATCAAGCCCTGGCTAGACCCAAACAGAAAACATCAGACAGGGAGCCCTACCCTCTTGAGTGCAGTGAGCTCCTCTGCTCGAGAGGCAGCAGCTCGCTGCTCCTGGTTCACTTCTCCCACCAGCTTCAGGATCGTTTCTCGACTGGTCTTGAACTCCAGGTCTTGACTATCTAGAGCTTCCTTCAGGCTGCCTATCGTCGCCTTCTGCTGCAAATTTTCCTCCCGCAACTTAGAAACCTTTCTCATAAAATAAAAAATAGCATTAAAAAAATACAATACAATAACAATGTTGGCAGATTTGGGGACAGAAACCCTCAGTCTCAGTCAAGCCAAGTACTGTATCCTACTGTAGCAAAGCACTATAATAAATTAATAATCTCACTTTCTGCTCAGCTATAAAGTGTTGAAAATTCATGTGGTGATTGGTTGTGAGTGGTTTAATACACCATAGTTGTATTTTTCCACATTGATGAAAAGTCGTAAGATTATTATAACCATCTGTGGATTGGGGGTGGGAATATTAATTAGTTCTTTAAGCCTGGTAATGCACTGCCTCTGCTCCATACAGTTTATTCTGCAATCTGGACACACACTTTCACGGACCACTTAGCCATGGAAAGAGAATATTTGCAGTGCTACGGGGAAAAACATCATAATCAATGAATCAGCACAAGTTAGGCCTAATTACAGGGTGTACGAATAAACATATTTCAACATTCATGTCAGGCTACTGTCTAACAGTAGTGCTGTACAGTAACACATACTCACTCTCAGTATCATGTTACCAAGGGAGTTCTTTGGATCCTTTTCACTCAGCCCTAGGCTTGATGCAAGTCCTTCTGTAACATCCACCAGCTTCTTCTCACTGCCAGCGGCTCTCTGCTCTGCATCCTCTCGCATTGAAAGGTGGAACCTGCACACACCGAACCAGTCAAGGCATTAGCCTTACCTTGCGGGAAATAACACTGAAGACAAGGCCATCTGCTGCTGTAATGAATCTGGGCTGTGGTGTAAAGGCCAGACATTTATTTGCAAGCAGAAAAGTAATTAAAATTAGGAACACCTACAGGAAGAATGGAAATAGAACCGTACTATTGAATAATTTCGCGGAAAAATGTTTTACAGGTGTAATGCCTCATGATACAGCATAATGGTAAAGCAGTTGTTCCAATTTCATGTTTACTAATTTAATAACCGGCATGAACAATGCAAGAATATCTTGATTCCCTGCAGTCCAGGATTTTTCAGGGAGAACCTACTTAATATGTAAAAAGTCTTCAATTTCATTAGCAAGCAGCTCCTGAAATAGAGGAACAGCAGTTGTTCATATAAAACAAAAACTCAACATGAAGATGAACGTGAGGGTTTTTCACACTTAAAAATAATAAAAAAATGAAACAGAATGTGCCAGTGCATGCACCATGTTGCTTTCCAGCGCGAATACAAACTTTCTCCTTGACCAAAGGTTCTTCTTTTATGAGACAGCTGCTGTTGTAAGAGTGGGCGCTCTCACCTCACTCTCTCCTCCAGTTCGGACACTCTGTGCTGAAGCTCGCCATTCTGTCTGTGGAAATCCCCCAGACTGCGGTCAGGCTGGAGGGGCACAGCCACGCTCCTTGTCCAGCGCCCTTCGCTGGCCTGCTGTCCTGGGGCCTGGGCAGGGGCAGACGGCAGAGTGCTGCTGAGCTTCATCCCCACCAGCTCCTCCCATGGCTTCTGTGCTGATGGAGCTTTTGGAAGCAGGTGTGTTTGGAGTCCCCCGACCTTTAGTGCGCAAGACGTACAGAAACATGAGACCAGCCCATTTGGAGCTGGAAGATCAGAGCTGACCCTCAAGATGCTTAAGATCAGATGCGTTAGAAATTGTGCTTTGGAAAATGTGGCTTGATCACTTCTTTTGTTAAGATCTACCTTTATTTTTTCAAAATATAATATAACAGTGCTATGTCTTCCACAAGATATTTATTTTTCATGTTTTTGGTCCTTTAGAATTTTGCTTGTTTTTACGTCTTACCTCTCCCTGTGCTGTATTTTCTCTGTAAGCATTGCCAGCGATCCATCTCTCATAGGAATGCAGAGGTGTCTGGTTGGGAGAACTCTGTAGTTGATCTAATGATCCCTATTAAAGAAGAACTGGTTTAGCTTCCTCATCAGTCCTGGTCCTGTGAATAATTCTGCATGTTGAAACTGGAGCATGGGGCACTTTTGGTTTGTAGCATTTCATGTATTAGGGTGTAATTCTTCACACTTCCTGGGTCACAGTTTCATGGTCAGCCTACATTGAGCTAATGCAATAAAGTGTGATTTCATACCTGACATTTGAAGTAGTACTACATTAGGTACAGTACCTCATTAAAGTGTAGCACTACATTATTTGCTTGTTTTACCCCCTTAAAAATGATTATAGCAATTAGTCTCAAACTCCTTGGGCTTTGGGATACAGGGGGAGAAATAATGAGTCTATGCTTCTTTGCCTTGTTTCAGAACCACGACCAAGATTTTTGTATATCGTCTTTTTCCCTGTGAACCTGAATGGTAAAAAACTAAAAGCTTAAAACTCCACCCTGTATAGATTTGCAAAATAACTTATTCTTTTCATTCAAAACTTAATGCTTCCACAGATGACATACAGTAATGAAAGCATTGAAGAGAGACCATATTCATATTCTTGACACAATCAGAATGAAATAATGCCTCCCTCACCGCATATCCTCTGGCCTTCGATGAGATTTGGAGGAATCAATGAAACTAGCCAGCTGTTCAGTCCAACATGAAGGGCCTGAAGGCTCTCTCTTCTAACCCTGGGCCTCCTGTCCATTAATAACAATGTCAGAGGCTCCCCTCTGAACAGGAGGCCAGAGTGGGAATCGGACTACAGGCACACTTTCACAGAAAACCATCACAGTCAGAACCATTCATAATTTCCACCTCAAAGTAAAGACATGGATCTAGATCAAAGTACCTGGTTTCTTCCCGAAAATGTGCAGAAGCCTATTCAGCAATAAAGCCAAGGGATGATTTAATACAGAAACTTACGGGTTGGTGCCAGGAAGGTGTCATGGAAGTACAGACTATTGCTGCATGCTCCCAAGAGAAGTCCTGCAGTCAGACTTTTCACTACTTACAGCTGAGACTGCTGTAAGATTTTCAGTAAGTCAACCTGTGAACCACCAGTTGCACTTGAGCAGATCTCCCCAGCAGTAGACCAGATGTGAAACTCACGTCCAGAATGCCCAATCATGTGTGTCAGGCATATGTCGAGAACATTTAAATGAGCAAAACAAGGAACAAGAATAACTGTTGTAGTTCCAGTAAGGTGCATATCACAGTGCCTAGGATATGGTTACTGAGCAAGAAGAAGGCAGAGAGGAGGCATAATTATTCAATAACCACAGATCTGAAACTGGATGAAGATACTCTTTCGCTGTTTAGACATAAGATAGAGTTGGGATCTCCATTCACACTGAAGTCCAGGGCCATTCATATTTTGTTAATTCAGAAGAATACAATTATATATAGTTATAGTTTGCCATCAATTTACCATTAATTATTATATCCTTTTCAACTAAATCAGGACGTCTCACAGATTCTCAGTCTTACAGATGACTTGTAAACTTGAGGTGAGGTAATTCATCTCCTGAACACCGGGAGATCACTGGGGACTCAAATAATCCTTTTCTATCGAAGTGACCACTAGACAGAGGAACATCAGTTAAAAATGCTCAGCTTAGAGGTAGTGCAACAGCTCCATCTTCTGCTGAAACTAAGTAAATCTTTATCTTGTAATTCTACTCAGTACCCTTAACCACCTGTTATGTTTGTGTAGCATTGCCTGTAGCAACGTAGATGAGGGTGAGTACCCCGCATGCAGTAAGCTGTTATTACTAATGACAACAATAAGAAACTAGGAGGGTTGTCCAGAAGAATAATGACCCACTTTCTTTTTTCATTACTCTGCAACAAGATGTTGGCAATTTCAATTTTACAGAACTGAAAGTTTCACTGTGTTCTTGTGGGAATTCATTTTTTTATCAATGTTGGGGTATTTCTCTGTGGATGCCTCTTGTTTAAAACTACAGGGGCTTCCAAAAGGATCTGGACAGCAACACTCTTTCTGCTTTACAGTCAAGCAATTTGTATTTGTAGTTGTAAGATTAATATGAGTGCATTTTCCTTTCTTTCAGTTTCCAAATTGCTTGGTTTCCTTCAACGTTCTTTGGTTTGCATTTTGACTTTCAACGTTAGCCTCCAAAGACTGAAGCCAAAGCGAGATTGATTGATAGGATGTTCACAGCTCTTTTATCAGTGTTATTACCCAAAAACAACCACCTGACCAACAAGGGACACCTCTCACCCAACAGTCTGAATACTTTTGCTCCTTTAAAATAAAGAGGTTCCATGCTATCGGCTTGTTTGATTGACTGAAGAGGGTAGAGTTGAAAAGGGTGACGTCCCCAGCAGAAACACAGTAGCCACACGAGGCCAGAGTTCATTCTAGTTTCTAGTTTTTGTAGAATTGAGTAGACTAGAGAGACACACCTCCCCTGGATGGAACACCAGTCTGTCACAGGGATCACCGCCAGCCAGGCGCTGTATCCTATTTGTATGTATCCTATTTGTGCAACTGGGTGGACTGAAGCAGCTGGGGTAAAGTATCTCTCCCATAGTACTACAGCAGTGTCTGAAGCAGAGACTCGAACCCACAGCCTGCCAGTCATGCACCAAAGGCACATCCAATACCCCATGCCACCTCCAGGGCCGAGTTACATTTATTACCAATAAAATACTTAGGAAATGTGATTACCAGTCAATTTTTCAGGACAAAACCTGTCAAGTTTACAGCAAAAACCAAGTCCCAGCACTGTTTACAGCGCGGGCATAGCAAAGTTTCCTGGTTTAGAACAACTTAGTGTGATGATTGAGCTCCTAAATTAAATAATTCAAGATTAAAAAAACATCAGGCAAGAGGGTCTATCCGCTGGCGTGAGATGAGGACAGCTTTGCAAAGCATCAGGAACCATTTCTGAGAAAGCATCTTCTGCATTACCGGCACTGTGCATCCACAGGACAGACCCCAGCCTATAAATCTGCTAGTGCCTAGGATATTTGCAGAACAGGCCTGGTGTGCTTAGATGCAAATGCTAATGGAAAGTTGACTAGATGAAATGGCTGAAACCATTAGAGATGCATTATAAAGGGTATGTGAGTCAGCAGCTGCCTGTTATGGATTCAAACATAATTGAAGGCAGCTCTACGAGCCGTGTAAACAGATTTGTTCAGTTTTCAAAGTTCAATCTTTTCCCCATAAATTTAAATGGAAATTAATTCTGATTCCAAAGAGGCTTCTAAATGGTTGCATCATGCAATGAGATCGTATTGATGAACCTGTTCTGATGCTCCTCTGTTGTTATGTACAAGGTGGAATACATGAGTCTGTCATTGCTGTTTTTTTGTGAGCCATTCTTTCTCTGGCAGATCCTAGGGTGGATGAGGGGGAGTTTTGAATGTGGTTTGGCTGGTAAAAGCAAGGATTTATCATTATTAAAAAGAATAGGTGTGTGAGAACAACATTTTTTAAAGGAAACCAATTTTGCCTGATGCATGATTCTTGGAGTAGAGAATTACTTCAAAAGATACCGTGTAACACTCAATCAAAGTGTTGTCAGACCCCAGCCTCTGATTAAACAATTTTTTCACAAATACCCAATCTGGCACAGCATGTGAATTGCTTGGCTGAGATGTAAATTGATCCTCATCCCACAAAGACGATCCTTTTTTATGTTGTGTTTTGTTGTTTCCTGCAGAACAGCTAATATTAAGTTCTAGGTTATACAAAGTTCTCCCGTCTATATAACAAGAGAGCTGTATCAATAAGTTCTAATTCTTCACCTTACAAAAGAGAGCTTTCAGTTGTAGCACATGGAAACAAGCAGCCAAGGAACACTTGGTAGACGATCAGATGTAAATTGCCCCAGTTGTGAACAACAGGAGGATTGTATTTTGCAAGTACATGTCCAGACATGCCTGGATTTGCACTAAAAACTTTATATAGGTGTAGGTGCAAAGATCAGGGGAAGTGGTATCATTTCACCCACTGATCCTGGGCTTTGATACAGACTTCCCTGAGATGTCTATAGTTATTCGTTACTCAATTCTTGGTCTCACGTGCAGATTTTTTTAACTTAATGATTGAATGTCACTGTGGACATCTTTATTAAAAATTACCAAGATCTTACTTTCAATCAATAGTACACTGCATCTGAAAACATTTTTGTAATTTTTCAGACATCTGCTATGATTGTCGCTTGTTTTGATTCAGTTTTCATAGGAAATTGAAATTTCAGCTTTTCCTCTTCAATTACATCAAAGAACATTTTGTGCTTTTGAATTGAGTTTGGCTGAATTGAGTTTGGCTATTTGCCAGGAGAATAATCTGAACTACATAGTGTCAATGCAAGGTTCTTATTTAGGGAACTTAATAAGAGTTAAAATCGTAAAAGGTCTGTTTGTCAGCACATTGAGCAAACATCACGCTGTTACAGCCCGTGACAAGTGTTTAACTCATCCTCTCCCAGTGTGGCAGCCTTGAACATGTAAAATAAATCAGTTGAATTAAAACCCAATTAAAGTGAACAAAAGCCAATACTCAACAACCCACTCTAATGCTACATAAACCCCTCAAATATTTTTACATTTTTATAGGCCTCTTTAAATTTGGAACATTTATTTAAATTCCTGTGTCAGATCTTTTGATACGAACTTACAGTACACAAGGATGGATTTATGTCTGCTACAGGTCTTACAGTACATACACATGCAGATTTCCAGAGAAAATAAGATATATCTTTCCTAGACCTCATTAAAACGACTGTTAATGAGCTGTTTCCAGTGAGGTATTAGTACAATTAGAAAAAACCCTAGAAATATGAATACGCATCTGAAAAATGAATGTATTGTCCAATGCATATGGGCAGTTCTCGTCATCATGTTCTGAAGGGGAAAGTGCACTAAGAAGGAAAGGTGCAGAGTGCCTGTTTCCCATGTTAACAATATCTGCTTTTTTTCTTATTCTCAATGAGGGTTCATGTTGCATAGGAAATTAATGACATGAAAGTAATAGTCCTCTCACTCCCCCTTCCCTCTCCCTGTCTCACAGACGCATGACTTTCAACTCTTTCAGCACCGCGCAGCCCTGGCTGTTGTGGCCTGCGGTGCCTCCTGTACTCACCTCACAGTTTCTGTGCGCAGAGGAGGCTGGCGGGGCAGCTGTCTGTCCAGGTGAGGACCCCTGCAGCAGACTTCGGATCCAGGGGGTGTCTTGCAATACACTGGGATCTGGGCTCCGGGTGCTGTGTGACTGGGACATGTCTGATACAGTTAACCCGTCAGACGCACGAGGGCATGTAATACCGTGTTCCGGTTCTGCTCCTTCCCACTGTGACAATTGCTCAGCGCCACCCTCTCAAGAAGACCTGTCAGCTAAAGGCTGGTAGGGTGCCCCAATGCTTGTGACCAGGCACGAGATGCCATGAGAAAGATTGATATTACAGCCTCATCGCGCTTCCTCCATCGGGGGTGTCAGACAGTTGATTCTGCGTTGACCCTGCTGCCACAACACAACGGGTGGTGGGCGTGTCCCGTTTCTATAGCAACCCCCCCAGCAACAGTGGCGAGTGAAACTCCCAGCACACCTGAAGGCATTTAAGAACATTCGCACTGTATTGTGCAAGAGGGAAAGGATGAGCTGGAAAAAGCCAACTTTGCCCTCTATTGTTTAGGAACAATGTTTCACAGAGTGCAAAGGCTAACCTGTGTCCATTACACAAGCAAATCCATCATTTTCCCATGACTGCAAACACAGAGGAACTCGGACACAGAAATCCCTATGCTGCTTTTGGTGTCTCAATCCAGAGTAATCCAGACCTTGAAAGAACCTGTGCCCCTCTCTAAATACTATTTTTATTTATTATTTATTTTACATTTTAGTTTTTTTTTATTCCAGGTAGAGTTACACTGTTTACAAGGTTTTACATTAAGTGTTGGTACAAAGAAAATAAATGATATGATTACAAAGGAGTACAATAAAGTCGATTAAATAAGATTAGAATGAAGACGAGTGCAGCGCTGCTGACCACTAAAAAACTATTCTTCTCACCTCTGATTGTCACAGTTTGCAGGACAATTATCGACCAACCTGCAGCAGAGGGAAAAGTACAGAAAAAAAAAACAGATACAGTGTAAAGACAAATACAGTGATGGAGTATTTTTCAGATTTTTGGAATACAATGTGAAAGTGTGTTCAAACTTGTTTTTGCATTTAAACCTAAGAATATACAGGTTGTGCGTGTTGGGAGGGGCAATTTCTGGCATGAACAATCTGCATCTAGCCAGTAGGTCGAAGTATACCAGCAAGCCAGTTTGACTAAGTGTTACACTGTATGTGTTATCAATATGACTACTGTGTATTGAGAGGTACTCATGGGTGTAGCCTCCATTTCTATGGTCTCTCTGCATCACCTTACATCTGATTTAAACAGATTCAAAATCCACAGCTCTGAAAGATTCTTTATCCACAAGGAGCTGAAGCACGGAAGCCAAACCATACACTGTAAATCTGAATAATACAGTTTTATGTACTGTAGAGAATTCTGTTCTCAAAAAAGCAACATCAAGTTTGTACATGATTTAGAAAGACATACTGTACATTCTGTAGCTTTTCATTTACAAAGAAAATTGAAGTATGTGACTGCAGCTTGGCAGAGAAACTGACAATCATGGCTGAAACAGGACATGTACTGTATAACTTCTTCAGTTCACCTCAAGGTGTCAGCCCTTGCTCATTTTATAAAACTGCTGATATTTGTTGTGATGTCAGCTGTGACATGAAATAACTCAAGAGCCTTGTGTTAACATACTAACAGTAGACCACAGAGCACACTGGTCTGTGAGTTTGCTTTGGGAAGATGGAATGAGATGGGTTTCCCGATTAAATGCTGGCAATGAATGCCAATTAGAATTGATCAGATGTTAATTAGTAGAGCAATTCAAAGCTATATGTTAAATGCACTTACTGCTGTTCACTCATTCTTGCTCAACTGGCAATGATGTCCTGAAGCCATACTGTCTGCACCTTTAGTAAAAAGCCTCCTATCTTGGCTCAGATAAATGAAAAGATTCATATAACACACAGCATCTCAGGACCTTGCTCTGTGTCCTTCTTTAATGCAGTCTTCCTCTTAATAGTTCCTTAAGTCTATAGATCAAATACATGATGGGGTACATGTTAGGGACCATTAAAATATGTAATTGTATTAATCAATATTTATTAGAGCTGTCTCAGTAGCTTTAGAAGTGACAATTAGAATAGTTTTAATCACAGGTATAGGCCTGGCTCTTAGTTCACAAATGGAAACCGGAAGCTCAGTTTTGTGGTGGGTCTCCATTGAGCAAAAAGGAAGATGCAGAGGGCAAGCAGCCTGCATTAGTTCTTTAATGTGTGACCAGAGGGTGTATCAGTTTGATTTTACACAAGAGTGCATTAAAATTCTTCTAGCTTGGGACATAGGAGTAATATGGGAATTAAGCTTAGAAGGAATGAAATGCAATCAAACTTGCCCAAGACTGTATATACTGTTTCCCTGTGGAGCCTGACATGAGGTTTTGCCCCATGTCACAGCACCCCCATTCGCCTCTGTTCACTTTGTGTGCAGATGAGAGGGGCAGAACTCCTGGCTGCTGGTGGCCTTATTGTTAGCAGCAGGAAACTATTACTTTCTCTGATAAGAGGAACTGCAGTTCACACAACAATAAAACACCAATCCATTGTTGCCAACTCTGCTGTCTTCTGTACTCCATTATGCCTCATTAGGCTCTCACACTTCCAGCTTCTCCAAAAGCCTACACCTGGATGCAGTCAGGCAGAGCCTGTCTGCAAAAAGACCCCCCAGTCCATTGACTGCAATCACATCCCCAAGATGGAAACAAACAAAAAACAGCAGCATTTTCACATTGACCTGAAGAAAACAAACCTGGAATTTTATGCATGTGAGTATTTATGTAAAATTCTGAAAGGAAATTATTTTACCATACTGATATAGCAATATTAAACCACTAGTTTGCCTTCTGGCATCACAATAAATGGATTTGATAGCTGGCTTACTGTCTTTTCATGCCCTTCTTTGGGTGAATGATTTTGCTGAAACAGAATTTAAGTATGTGCCAGTTCGCTTATGCATTGCCCTTTCTTTGGCTGGAGGAGAGAGATGACTACACCCTCTGTGAGGAGTTCAAATTTCCCCAGTAATATTTCCACTATCTCACTGAGCCAAGGACAGTATTGCACAACTGGGTGATTTTTTCTTAATGAGCCCTGACAGCGGACCTGTTTTCCCAAATTTCTGGGACAAGACCAGGGAAATAATCAGTAAACCTGAGCAGAAGTGATGGGATGGTGGTCCCAGCAGCTGCAAAATGATCAAAATCTAAGGGAGATGTGAAGATTTTACAAAAGCCACATAGGATAAAGAAGGAGTCACTACTTCTCCTCTCATCTTCTCCTCCAACAGCTTAATTATCTTTATACCTTAGGCTTTGCTGCACCTAGCAGCTGTAGCAATAGGAGGGACATTCAATTCTGATTGGCCAGGACAAGGGGAATAGAATGCATTTACAGGGATACCCGTTGTATGACAGCTGTTAAAATAATGTACTATATAATGATTAAAAAGGAATGCAAAAAAGGGGATTCTTCATGTAAGAACATGCAGGATCTTTAAACAAGAGTCTGCCAGCCATGCGGAGCACATTAATCAGGAAGCCACACCTCTCTTACCCTGCGGGTGTCAGGATCTGCATTTTATAACGAGCAGGGCTCAGTTTATTTAATTCAGATAAATACAGTTTAAAAACATTGGTCCGCAAGGATGTCCAAACCGTCATTCAAAATGCTCATCTGATGTTTTTTTTATTGAATATTTTTGATGGGAGCATTTAAAAGTCAGTAAAATAAACCTCAAAAGGCCGCGTATGAAAAAAAAAAACTACAGCGAGATCATAGTTTTCTTTGAATTCCTACTAAATGGTCATGATTCCAAGTATTGCAGTTTGTGTAAGTTTGTGTTGTATAGGAAAACTACAACAAATAAAAACATTGTGTTTCTAGATTATTTGAAAAGGATCCTATTTCAGGCGAGCAAGTTTGGAGACAGCAGTGTGGGTGGCTCTAGTGTTTGCTGCTTACAGTTTGGGATTAATTTCTCAGCTGTGATCCTGCAGTTACTCTGGCATAATTGAAAGCACGTGTGTGATGGTTTTCCTTGTTGGCACAACCCTGGAGGATCTGACTTGCTTTGGTGTGGTACTTTTCCATTAAAGTGATTATTTGTCTTCGTACACAAGAGCGAGAGGAAGATTGGCGATGTAAAAACTGTGCTCTGTTCCAGATACTTACAGTAATGAACAATTGAATTCCCAAGTGGTATAGAATTTAATGCTTTCATTTCAATAAGGGCCTCAGAACAAAAATAGCTAATTGCTGTACTTAATGTAGGTACCTTTAACTGCCTTTAGCCATTGTTAGCATGTCTGTGTTTTGTTGCCATGGTAGAAACTGTATGGTAACGAAAGAAAGACCAGGCTCCTGTAACTTCCAGAAGAATCTGGCATTGCAGAGCACAGACAACTCTCTGCACAGCAATACTGATTTGTCTAACTCTCATTGCTCATGAACCTTGAGTTCTGTTCTCCTGCAGAAGGAATAAGTTGGGGTCTTGCTTCTTATTTATTTTCACCTTGAAAAGGAGATTTTTCCTTCTGGAATCTCTTAGACTGCCACCCCAATCCCTCTGCAGCTGCAGAACATCCAGTTACCTAAGACAATCAAAAAACATTCAAACACAAAAAAATGACCTTAGGCAAGTTAAGAACATAAGAACATAAATCACACTGGACACATCACCAGGAAACGCCTATACATATCATACATTCATATTGTTACGGTTATTGGAAGTGGCTACTGAGGTGTCTTGAGGGAATCTTAATACAATGGTTAACACCTGGCATATGTCAACATTTGTGTTCTCGTGAGCTTCAAAGCAAGAAAGGAACTAAGGTGTTTACTTAGTTGTGGCTGGCTGTGGAACTCACAGATCAAAGGAATGGTCTGGTTTACCTTGGTTAATTAAGTTATGTACAAATGATTAAGTGTCCTCAATAGTTCAAGAACACAGCATAAAAAGAGGCAGGTGAAGTATATAGAGAGAAGAGAAACGGAGAGATCACAGAGAGGGGGAAAAAGGACACAGGGGAAGAGGAGAAGGGACAGTGCTAGGAAGGGGAGGTCTTTTTTCCGATCAGCCTGTAAGACCAAATTCGAGATGAGTACGTGTATGTGAACCTTGTTAAGAGAGCCTGCTGTTCGGTTCTTTTTAAGAAACTCTGATTTCTTGTACAGTGAATCCCTAGGTTAAAAATGGCCTCTCCTGGTTAGTGAATGCATGTTTGGAATAGGGAGGGAGAAGAGGGTTCCCTTTCATTCTGTAGAATCCAGATTTATATATAGAGAGATTTAAGTCTAGGCTATATTCTGTCTGG